TGTCCGGAAGGTCCGGATCATGTCTGGACTTCCGGACGTCCGGACAGTTCCGGACGTGCGTCCGGTTTCGGGTCCGGTCCGGTCCGGGCCGGGTCCGGGTCTGGCGTAACCATGGTATATATACATACATATGAACTACAAGAGCACACTTTCCGAAACAAACGAAGAAAATAGCCGACAACTCGAAGTACACTGAAAACGTTCCTTGGCCTTTTGCTGCGCAATTCTTTTTTTTTTTTTTTTTTTTTTCCTTTGGTGTCTGTGTGTGTGTGCTCACAGGACACCGAACAGCAGTTGCAGGCACCAGCGCTAGGCCAGGACAACCCCTCCCAGCCCTAGTTGAAGCACTATCGGACGAGCCTTCTCGTACGGGCACTTCAGTCGCCAAGCATGATCATCTTATACACTTTCCTACGAGCACCAGCCTGAGGTTGGTCAGACAGCGAATATTCCACAGAGCCACCCCAGGCAGTGTTTACTGGTCCTACCCTGACCAAGGTCTTACCTAAGACAGCCCCTGACCCAACCGGGTAATTCCTAGCATAGCGTACTCATATCACGTCATGTCCAGGGGCAGGGTTATCGTTTCCGTGACACGCACCAGTCACTGCAGGGCCAATTCCTGCCAAGGAAAACCTCCGGCCCATTCCCCCCCGCACCCCAGTTATTGGTTTGTGGTTATGTTTTTTTCATGAGGGTGTTAGCTATCCCATACTTAGCAACATATCGAGGTGACAGGGTTAGCAATCCCGTACCCCCTTTGGATTTTTTTTTCGGTTCTTCTATATACATACTGTAATGACCCATCAAAACACAGGCTGAGAACACAGCTGATTTCTGAGTTGCTATATCTCCAGGCAGAGCAAGTTTCTCTGCCTCATTTGCAGTACGCAAGTTTGGAGGTCATGAATGCTTAAGCCAGCACTGGACTTCAGGGCGCTGCTGGAAGGAGCGCTGGACACTACAGCACTGGGAGAGGAAGAATGCCAGGAGCTCCCACCTTGGATATGGTGGAGCTCTACCAGTAGGAGGGAGGAAGAAGGGGACTAGGTAGGAGAGTGGTGAGGTACCTACCTGGCTATGGTGGACGCCATCTTCATCACTTCATTAGGCGCTGCCCTGGAAGGCTCCAGTGGGGGTTGCGCCGCACCAAGAAGGCTTCAAGGCAGAGTCAGTGATGGCGGCCTGAGCAGCGTCGGACATAGCTGCTTTGTGTTGTCTTTTGCACAGCAGGGCTAGGCCCTTAGTAGTCACCCATAGCCTCGGCCTGGTTGAGGAGGAAGACGATGGAGGCCATGGCTAGTAGAAGTGGGATTCAGACTTTGATTCTGGTTCAGCCATTCATCATTGTTATTATTATTTATTGCTTGAATAAGAACAGAGGTGCAAAGGGGAGGAGTTGGTTGGCGAGCATTTGTAGGAGGAGCAATTGCAGTTTTACTAGTTTCTATTGTAATCCATGTTATACTTGCGGTGCCCTGATGCGGTCGCTGAGCGGGGCGGTGCGCTGTGCGCGGGGCGCACATTTTGCAGCGAGCGCACTGTGCGCCGTGCGCTATGCGCTGTGCGCTCGGTGCGCCAAATGAAAATATGCCCTGCATTTATCTTGCACAGGGAGATATAGAGGAAGAAGAGGAGGAAGAAGAAGAAGAGGAGGGGGAGGAGGAGGGGGAGGAAGAGGACGAGGAGGAGACAGACGAGAAAGATATGGTGGAGGAAGATATGGAAGAAGATGCGGAGGGCGAGGAGGAGTAGAAGTAGCTGCACCAGCAAAAAACAAAAACAAAAAAAAACAAAAAACACGTGCCGCGTGGCACGTCGACGTTAGAGTACGATGAGGATGATGATGATGATGATGATGATGAGGAGGAGGAGGAGGAGGAAGAAACAGCAAAAGATGAGGAGTAGGAGTAGGAGGCGGCGGAGAAGGAGGAGAACTGACCGAACAAAAAGCGTGCCTCGTCGCACTTTAACGTTAGAGGAGGAGGAGGAGGAGGAGGAGGAGGAAGAAGATGAAGAGGAGGGGGAGGAAGAGGGGGAGGAGGAGAAGGAGGAGGACAAAGGTAGGGCGGCGGAGGAGGAGGACACGACAGAAGATGTGGAGGGCGAGGAGGAGTAGGATAAACTTCCGATAAAGGTGTGGCGGAGGAGGAGGAGGAGGGAGATATGGATGAAGCAGACGAGGAGGAAGAGGAGGAGGAGAAGGAAGAAGAGGAGGAGGAGGAGGAGGAGGAGGAGGAGAAGTAGCTGCTTAGGCAAAAACAAAAAATAAAAGT